AGTGATACTTTTTACATGGAGCAACGGCAATATATATGTACCTTTATCAACGGCAGTTTTTACATGAGCTGACTGTAATATACACATATCGATATTGTATTTTCTAGCTACCCCAACGGTAATAAATGCGTTGCTGCATGTTACTTTCTACGTGTATCAACAGTAAGGGGTACACTAGCGAACGTTATCATGTACACATGTTATGTGATAACAATTGCTTCAGTTGATGAGTTTATGCGGTCACGATTGTAAATATAACCGTCGTATTGTTGCAACTGTAATCAGTCTTTGTAATAATGTGTACTACAATGAAATTGTACATTTGGCATTTTTAGCAGAGTAATCATTACTTTGTGGAACTGCTGTCCTTATATTTCCCAGCGATTGCTGTTACATCTATCCCAATTGTAGTAATTATAACAACTTTTTTCTCTCCGTGCACGGTCCTGTATACTTCGAACGCGATGCTATCGCGCTGTTTGATACTTGGCTGAATCAAATGATTCGCTACCGGGCTCGACTGCTGTAAGCCACTGCCAGCTGATGCAGCTAGTGCAACCGCTGCAACCGGTGCAACCGCTGCAACCGCTGCAACCGCTGCAACCCCGTTCCGAGCACTGGCTATGGTAGTCCGCGAACATGTGTGGAATCCCAGGAATTTATCCGAGATAAGTTTATTCCATGGGAACACTGCTCTTCGACGGTTTATAGACTGGATAGTAGTATTATCTGCATGTCAAGAAGGTGCGATATACTACGGGTGCTAGGAATTCAAACTTCGTTATGATAAGGTTCATTCGGATGCAAATGCCGTACGCAAGGAGAATTAATGTATGTACGGTAGGCACCCCCACATCGGAAATATGGAATGAAACCTATTGGAGAATTTAGTGCTTTTTTAGTGCTATTGTAGTGCTCTAGAAATATCCAAGAGCCAGATCCGAAACATCACCCCTTTCACGCTAAAACTACCCCCGATCGTATAAGCGCCAAGAGAGAAGAGGTAGACATAATAATATTTTGCATGTTCTCTTTTCGAATTATTTTGGTTCTATTTAAATTCTTTAGGAATACCCAAGAGACAGATCTGAAACATCACCCCTTTCACGCCAAAACTACCCCCCATCGTATAAGCGCCAAGAGAGAAGAGGTAGAAATAATAACATTTTGCATGTTCTCTTTTCGAATTATTTTGGTTCTATTTAAATTCTTTAGGAATACCCAAGAGCCAGATCCGAAACATCACCCCTTTCACGCCAAAACTACCCCCGATCGTATAAGCGCCAAGAGAGAAGAGGTAGAGATATCAAAATTTGCACGTTCTCTTTTCGCATTATTTTGGTGCTATTTATATGCTCTGTGAATACCCACGATATCCTTAAAGCACTTAAATAACAACAAAATAATGCGAGAGAAGAACGTGCAAAATGTGTTATTATTTCTACCTTTTCTATCTTGGAGCCTACACGATCGGGGGTAGTTTTAGGGTGAAGGGGGTGATGTTTCGGATCTGTCTCTTGGGTATTCCTAAAGCACTTAAATAGCACCAAGATGCTGTATACTCGTTTTTTCCGTGAATCTTTCCCTTAACGTGGTATGCACTGTGGGGGTGCTGAGTGAACGCTTACTCAGCACCACCACCGATTTTTAGTATAAGAGGTGGAGCACTAAAATCGAAGTTGTAGCACTAAAATAGCACTAAAAAAGCAGTAAATTCTCCAATAGGTTTCATTTCATATTTCCGATGTGAGGGTGCCTACTGTACATACATCTAACCTTCGGGTGATCGGGCCAAGACTCGAATCAGGACCTCTTGCTATCCAAGCATGCTCCTTCTACCACTAACCCAGGTAATAATCACCGAGGTTCTTCCAAGACTTAGCCTATGGCATAGGTATGGAATATTAACCTTTATAACTCCAACCAACAGTAATACTGCCAACTTCTTATTCTCTTCTAATACTCTTGGAGTGATAAGGGTTAACTATCAAGGACGTAGAATAATGGCACAACTTCCGTAACATCTTTGGTAAAACCTCCAGCTAAGGTCGGTCCCATCATTCAAATTTTGAAATGAACATGACGTTGGAAAATTTCTGGCCCAAAATTGGTTCGAACCTAGAGTGCCGTTATTGAAGTGTTTCAATTCTTGGTGGTTTACCATGTCGCGAGGAAATTTTGTTGGCCAATTTTGGTTCAAATCTGTGATCAGATTGACATCTGAACAACCCTGAATTCAGCGATCTTGGTCACAGGATCGAAGTTTTAGCACTAAAATTGCACTAAAAAAGCAGTAAATTCTCCAGTAGGTTTCATTTCATATTTCCGATGTGGGGATGCCTACTGTACATGCATGGAGAATTATTCTATTGAAATCACGAGGGAATGGGAAGTAACGACGGACGTGTTTGAATTTTGATGGGAATTATTGCATTCGCCTGAGCGAATGATTGTTAAGGACTGTTTAAGATAAAAACTGCACTATTTGTAATTTTGTCTGTTGCTATGGAGGATTGATGAAATTTTCGCGCCTGGATTTAATGTTACACGTACTGATAATATTTATCGGGAAGTATAGCAAAATTTTATATGGTGAGAATTGTTTAGCAACGAGTTTAGAGACATCGCAAAGTGCATATTTTACTGCCTTTTACGATTCTGATTATCGCTATCCTCGTTACTTCTCCTTACTATAACGCTGTTGTCGGTTCGTTTGTTTGTGCACATATAACGTAATGTTTTTTATAAGATTTGAAGCAGGAACAAACGTCCCCCTAAATACGGTCGTAGATTTAAAAAATGTAATTAGTTTTTTAATCGGACCCCCGTGGGATAAGATAGTACGGTTTGCAATACTACGGGTATTATTTATACGTTCTCTTTTAAATAATAAGCAAATAAAATGAAGGAAATAGATCATCCGATTAACTTTACTAATGTATAACTAATGATATGAGTGAATACCAGAGATATTACTATCAGAGCCGCTTTAAAGCAAAAAAGCGAATTATGAGTATTACTTGAACATATTATTATATTTTAAGCAATTATGTTAACCCAGAGAACGTTTTCATAAAGTAAACAATTATAAATTACGAAAAGTGACGAAATTCTCGTAAAAACACCTTCGGTGTAAAAGAAATTTACACCAAATACGTCTTAATGTAAAAATCTACTTTCCAAAACCGTATCTATGTAATAGCGAGTAATTGCAAAAAATCAATAAAATCAGCTACTTTTGCCAAATATGTGCTTGGGTGTTATATGTAGAATAAAATTCTATAGAACCATACCCATAAAGTATTAATTAAGCACATATAAGTAATGAATCACTCTAGCTAAATACGTATATTCTGTTCCATTAAAGACAAGATACATTTTAAACATAACAAATATTTGGCGAACCTCGTAATAATATTTATACTTTCAATGATCCCGAATTCAATGCGATTCCCTAAATGTACAAATCACATAACAAATGGGGCTTGCGGAGTATTTTGTTATGCTTAAGATATATTTTGTTCTCAATGTAACATAATATACGCATTTAACTAGAATGATTCGTTACTTACATGTGCTCAATTAATACCTTATGAGTATCGATCTATAGAATTTTATTTTACATATAACACCAATTTGATGCAACTTTTCTTACATTGAAAGTGCTTTCGCGAGGATATTAATTACTTAAACATTCCTCAGTGTAGGAAGTGAATTAAAAATATCAATTCATTAAAATTTGGTCGAAAAGGCCAGAGCGTTCTTCTGGTACTTGTCAATTGACATGAAAATATTTGGGGTTGTACGGAAAATTCGTTTCAATTTTGAAGTCCTACTCAGGCAACCCATGAAGTGGAATATACGTAAATTAATCGTCTAAATTAGGTCTATAGGTATAGCAAATGTATATCGTCTATCATCCACCTAAAAAAATATCTAAAGAATATCTATGTCTATTGTAGATGAAAATTATATATCCACTGTTGATCTGCAAATATCTACTTATTTCTTGACGCATACAAAATATATAATAGCTCTAGGAGACGTCCACCAAAGATTAATCAACAACGTTGAAAATACGTTTAGAAAAATAAAAAGACACCTGTAACCTAACATTTTTCATAAATCCTTAATGTTTATATCTAAATTCCAGCTTGATTGATGACCAAAGATTAATCAACATCGTTGAAAATACGTTCAGAAAAATAAAAAGACACCTCATGTAACCTAACATTTTTCATAAATCCTTAATGTTTATATCTAAATTCCAGCTTGATAAAACTGTTAATTTCGTCCATACTCTGATTTTTTTGGCTGATGACCATACATCATGATTTTTTCCCACTGTGTAAATTATGGTGTATTACCAGGCACCGTATGAAGTATAACATACTTATAGTGGACATACAAATTAGGACGTAAGTATATAAAACTTACATTATTTATGGAATGCATAATAAAAATATCCCGTGAATATATATGTAAATCTTTTTCACGCCTATATTTTCAGTGCATATATCATAGAAGCCTAGATAACCCGTACAGGAATCTAAACTATTCGAAAACGTTAAATTGATAGTTTATATTCAGAGTAATAGTCTATATTGAGCTTTCACGGACTTATAAAAATGTAGTTACATTAAAAGATTGCGCACATTTAAATAAAATATCTTTAAACAATGTTTATAAAATTCGTGCACTTTTTGTATATAAAGTTGTACTAAAATTATGAGTTTAGTATCTTAAAGGTGAATCGGTATACATTTATTATGCACTTTTAAAGTAATACCACCTATCGGAAATTGAATTTTCCGGGCAACCCAGTTCTTCGCCTTTATTCAATACGCATATTGTCTACCACTGGTAATATGTGTGCAGAGGAATCCATCTGCGACGCTCGAATGAGCTTTTTCCAAGGAAACTGCACGCGCCGATGGAAACGGCGAGACTCTGGACTTTTTTTATTTTCTCAGAAGTAGAAAGGTGACGCGAAAACTCACCTGTCGGCATTCTGGTACAGTTCCACTGAACTGTTCAGCTCGGCCAACTGTTCCTTTAGCAGCTGAAGGTTAGAATTGACGAAGCTCAATTCCAGTGCTACGGTTTCCTTTAACTTCCGGTTGGTGGTTGCTCTGCAATGCATTCAAGAAAATGGTTACCCAGGCAACAATTGAAGCACGGTGCACTTTTGGCCCAATATTGTGCCATCATTGGACAAGGATGGCCAATCAAGCTTGAACTAGACATAGAATCATAACAGCGATTTTAGGAAGGGTGGACCATATTTGGGCCACAACCTATGTCCAAGCTCGGTGTCGCGATATAGACTTTGTTATAATTTAAATCTAGTATAGCATGTATTCAAAGGAGTCAGGCATAAAGCACTTAACTGCGACAGCTGTAGTCAAGGTTCTGCAGGTCATAATCCCTGCTTAACCCTTTCGTTACCTTGGACGAGATATCTCGCACCCAATACTGGCCGATTAACGCTTTTGACGGGATATCTCGCGACCCGATACTGGCCGATCAACGCTTTTTACGAGATATCTCGCGACCCGGTAGTAGCCGATCAACGCTTTTGACGAGATATCTCGCGATCCGGTAGTAGTAGCTGTATTTATTTCTTCCGTTTAGCTATACGAATAGAATTAGTTATAAAATATATTCATCTAGAATGTCAAAATATTGGTGCTAGAAAGCTAGATTATCGTCAGAACCGTTAATCCGCTACTACCGGATCGCGAGATATCTCGTCAAAAGCGTTGATCGGCCAGTATCGGGTCGCGAGATATCTCGTAAAAAGCGTTGATCAGTCAGTATCGGGTCGCGAGATATCTCGTCAAAAGCATTAATCGGCCAGTATTGGGTCGCGAGATATCTCGTCCAAGGTAACGAAAGGGTTAACTAGGAGACTTTATTAGGGATCATTAGGACGGTAAGGAAAACACCATGATTAGCCCGTTAGACGAATACAATGTTAATTGTGACAAGCCGAGTCTGGTCTCTTCCCTCAATAAAACGACGTCCCTAATAAATAAGCAATAAAAAAACAATAAATTTTGGTGTATGATTTATGCGGTTATGCTGACGTGGCGCTGCTAGCTTTAAGTTTGGTGATAATTCAATTTTTATAATAATTTTCGTAGAAACAGTGGAGGGATTTCGACGAAACTTGGTATAAACGTATTCTGTATAAGGACGGTGAAAACACAATATTGTCCAGCAATGCTACACCCCCCCAAGGGGGTGAACGAATATCGCTAATTCTATTTTCGTAAAAACAGTAAAAATCCAATTTTACCGTTTCACCAAGGAGATTGTATTACTAGTTGGAAACGGGTGCGTCATCGGATGTGTTGCGAAACTATTTTAGTCTCTTAAACTTTATTTTAAATTTATTTATAAATAATTGCATGCTATGAAAACCAACGACATTTTGAGGAATTAGCACGTTCACAAGATTTATGTACAATGAATTGGTCACGATATAGCCCAATGTAGCTAATCGAAATATACCCGTATACCACCTACATTCATTGTTTACAACCGATGTGTAAATGTTTATTGGTAAAAAGCAAAAAAACACGTATTCCTTCATTTTTTGTGAGCAATCATATGGCGTAAGTGGAACTTAAGTAGGAGTGCTTGTTTAATAGATAATAGAAAAAAATGTCGCCTGAAGGGTGGTTCACCCCCTTGGGGGGTTGTAGCATTGCTGGACAATATTGTGTTTTCACCATCCTTATACAGAATACATTTATACCAAGTTTCGTCGAAATCCCTCCATTGCTTCTATGAAAATTATTATACAAATCGAATTTTTGCCAAACTTTGGGGGGTTGTTTCACCCCTTAAAAGCGAACCATTGCAGATATAAAAAAACACGTGTCTCTTAGATTTTTGTGTTGTTCAACATGTATGAAAATCAATAAGTTCGGGGGCGGACAGTTGGGAATGTTTCCTTGTGAGTAAAAATAGGCACGAGAGCTAGAGAGAACGGGGGACTCGGGTTGTTGGCGCGACTAAGGAAGGCCGGATCGTGTATAATTTTTGAAAAATACAAGTTTTGTTCCATAAAATGTGTTGTGACTTTGATCGAGGAATTCCACCTAAGCCTACGGGGCGGAGAAAAATATCCGGACGCGACACTTGGATATCAAAAGCGGTTACCATTTTCGAATCGGAAACCTTTGTGACTCTGCACCATGTTGTTCTCCAAAGCTGGGTCATACAAGCAATGATAACGTTTTGACCAATCCGGACAATCATCTGCCAATGTTTTACCATTATCGATCCATTACTTGCTCAGCATTGAACAGTAACTGAACAATGCGTTGGAAAACACCCAAAGCTATTATCAAAGTTTGATGGAATTTTCCAGGCAATAATCATCTGTTATTGCAAAACTTACAATTACCTTGTGGCAAAGGTACGGATTAACATTGGCTACCATGGTTGGCCATACGGATAATTGCCGGCTGAATTCAGACTTGTTTAGACGCCAATCTTGGTTATAGACTCGAACTAGAGTTCGTCCACAGTTTTTTCAAGGAATGATAAAATTCAAATATGCCAATAACAACACTAGGTTTCGACCAATTTTGGGCTGCGAACTTTCCAATTCCGTGTTCATTTCGAAATTTCAGTGATTGGGCCGGCTTTCACCCGAAGTTGTGCCATTATTGTACATCCAACCTTGGTAAACAATATTGATTCATTCCATAAGCTATGTCTTGGCAGAATCTTGGCAATTATTGCCTTGGTAACGGTTAAAGGAAGTATGTCATGCATTTCATAATTTACTGTAAGTGTCATGGTAAACAAATAACGGTTTACAGGTACAAGAATGTTAAACACTCTTTCTCAAAATGTTGTCTTTCTCTTTTGGGCGCAAGAGAGGAAATACGCTAATAGCGGCACTAGGTTTGAACCAATTTTGGGCTGAGAATTTTCCAACGCCATGTTCATGTCAAAATTTCAATGATTCGACCGGCCTTCACCCGAAGTTTTACTAATGATGTTACCGAAGTTGTGCCATTATTGTGTGTCCAACCTTGGTAACCAATATTGATCCATTCCATAGACTAACAATAAGTTTGGCAGAACCTCGGCAATTGTCTTGGTAGCGGTCAAAGGAAGTATGTCATGCATTTCATAATTTACTGTAAGTGTCATGGTAAACAAATAACGGTTTACAGGTACAAGAATGTAAAACACTCTTTTTCAAAATGTTGTCCTTCTCTTTTGGGCACAAGAGAGGAAATACGCTAATAACGGCACTAGGTTTGAACCAATTTTAAGCCAGAAATTTCCAACGCCATGTTCATGTCAAAATTTCAATGATTCGACCGACCTTCACCCGAAGTTTTACTAATGATGTTACCGAAGTTGTGCGTCCAATCTTGGCAGCCAATACTGTTCCATACCAGTGTCATAGGCAAAGGCTTGGCAGAATCTCGGCGATTAGTCTAGATACTTTACCCTCGATACTCACGATATATTGATTATACAACTCAAATTTAAAAAACAGATATTAGTTAATTTCCTGATCGGCCGAAACAACCTGTTGCAGCGTTCCACTTTCTAAACTAGCTCTAGAAAAAGAAGTGAACTGCAAGGAGAGGAAAAGTATGCCACTGAAATATGCACTGAATTGCCCCGGATGAGAACAAAATGACCCCGCGGAAATGTACTTGGGAGAAACGCCTTAAAAGGAACAACCAGACTGAAAGCTCAATAGTAAATTTTAGATTGACCCAGAAAAGAATTCTCTTCTTAGGAAATTTCACGTTTCACGGGTCTCCTTGAAACGAGTTCACTCTGGTCATTTTCTCCATCGGCGTTTCATTAATCGTTAGATCTCCTTTCCTAGTGAAGACGAAACCGGTATCAAGAGTACGGTTATCGTGTTGATTGCATTGCATACATGCGAAAAGAGCCATAAAGTGTGCCTCGTAGCGAGGAAATTATGGCCGCATAAATGATCTTGGAGCATGAAGACATTTCCATGACCTTGTTATCTCAAACTCGACTCAAAAAATAAAATGTGTCACTCTGCGAACTGGGTGAATATTCAAATCGAGCATAAGATGATTGCACAAAAAACTGCGAAGTAGCTCAAAATGGGAGATAAAATAACTAACTGTAACAAAAAAGAATCATAAGTTGGGATAACTAAACCGCTTTACATCGAGTTCTACCCTGAAGGAAGAACTCGCGTAGAGAAATATTGAAAATCTGGCCCAGTTCTAACAAGAGCTATATTAAGTTAGAAACCGCACAATACAGATTTAAATAAACATTGGTGCATCGTTTTGCACAGTTTTCCACCGTTGACAAAAGGTTTTGCACCCCTATAAAACAAAAAATACAGTAAAAACAAAATTAATGCAGCTTCTAACAAGTCGTTTGAATCCCAATCAGGCTCCAAGTATGTGATTTGGTCAAATTCTGATCAGAAATGTAACGTTTCGCTTGGCTTAGATCTAGACGATCATGGTCTTGGGAAATATGTGGATACATGTGGACGGTCACAAGAATACCTAGTCACTGCGTTGGTACTCATGTAATCGTAGTGAGAATAAGAAAAGGGACAAAAAATGGTCTTTTCTGTTTTTCTATCTTGCAATTAGACAGCCTACTGTTATATCGAAGTGCGCAGCTGTTTTGCAAAATCCGAGGGAAAAAAGAAAGAGAGCGTTTCTTGTTCTTTGCCTCTCAATATGGTTGCCTTCACAGTCAGATTGACCTTTGGGGTCCAAATATCGAACATCCATGGACTGGACAAGCTAATCTGGTTTTGGCTATCGATTCGTGTGAAATTTTACCACGTGAATATGGAGGACCTGAAGTATATCCTGAAACTCATGAAGTTTCATTTTTCATAAAGAAATTTATTTACCATGGATTAGAACTAACATGACGTGGTTCTTGCATGTTTTCGAAGTCGATGTATACCATCCGATCGGACACGACGCGGAAACGTAGCGTTTCCGGCAATACAAACATTTTTACATACGATTCTAATAGGAGTAGTTATGTTTAGCGGATTTGATGTGTTCTGACCATGGACTCCGAGCACCTAATTACTACCTTGATATTCTTGTAACTGTCGAGAGAATAAAAGACCAGTGACCAACAGACGATCCTTCTTGTATTTCTCCCTTTCTATCAAATAGCTTATCGCCGCATTGTGCTGTGCAGCTATTTTCCCAAATTAGGGGCAAAGAGAGAAAAAGACTGTCTCTTATTTTATGCCTCAAATGTAGTTGCCATCACAGTCGGATCGGCGTTCGAAATTCATGTAGTGTCAGTGCCCTGTGCGATCCAATAAAGTTAATAGAATAAAAAAAAGATGAAAGCGTTTAGCTATACGAATAGTTGTGTAAGGCAATAAAGATTAAGAATTAGACTAAATAGAAGTTAGAGTGAAATGTAATGTTTGTATGATTGTGGGGTGAAGTGAGAAGCATTTAGATTAAATGACAGCTCGATAGGCGATACCGTTTATGCGTGGTTGAGAATTCGTGAAGTGCGAGTGGCCGAATGACTGTGAGTGAGAATTTTCACGCACAAAGAAATGTATTGATGAGTGTGGGAATGAGAGAGTGAGGAATATGAATTGAGTGAGAAAGAAATTAGAGTGAGGCTGGATGAGAATGATCGAATGGGAGTTAGTTCTAACTGAGGAGAGCTCGAGCGAAGTCGGAGGGAAAGTTAAGTCCCTTTTTCTGAGATCTTTAAGACGTACTCTTCAATGTATTCGATTTCTTTATATTAATTTTTTTTTATTAATAAACCAACCGTTCATGTTAATCCTGATACTTGAAATTTGATCCTACATTCATACATCCTACATTCATGATTCCGACAGGTTACATGCCATACACATACAATGCACGCATAACATTCGACATTGTCGACAAGGGCGTTTTGCAAAGTTACAAATCTGGATTTTAGATTTGCTGTCTGAACTAAATTGAGGGTATAAATATATATTCTGCTTTTGTCGGAACATTAACGCTACGTTTTCGCGCCGTATCTGACCGGATAGGAAGTACAGCTCGACCTTTAAGGATCAACACGTATTTAGAACAGTATGTTCCGAGTTAGCATTAAAAAAAATGAATTTTACTCAGTAGGAACTTACTTGAAGAGATTCTCAGCCCCGGCTCGTAGTCGCAATTCCTTGTTGATCTCTTGGTTAAGCTTGCTGCGCTTGTTTTGGAGCTTTCCTCTACAAGTCGCCACTCTCGGGTCCGAGCCCTGAAGCAAAAACATAAATTATGCATTGATTGCGCCACCACCACATTTTCTGAAGACAATTTTAGCATAACATTAAACGTAAAAAAAATTCGAAAATATCTGTCTTACGATTATTTCGGTCTATCATCCTATCATGTATAGTAACCCAAGCAACAATTGAATCACGGCGCAACTTTAGCTCAATATCGTACATCATTGGCCAAAGACAGCCAACCAACTTTCCCTAGTAGCACAAAATATTTGTTCTATATTTTCTATATATTTAACGAATATCGTACATTTTGTAAATATTTAGCAGACATTTGAAACATTTGCAAAACGTTTACTTTAGAATATTATCCCTATAANAAAAAGCATATTTTGGTTTCTTTCGAAAAACGAATTTTAAGGGTTGTAACAACCCTTTAATAAAATGATGTATAATCTCGTTTTAAAACCAGCTTGTACGACTTTCTTGGACTTAAGAGACTTTAACGATTAAAATTAATAAAAGAATACGGTCAGGTATCATTCGATACATTCGAAGGGTAAATTATCCCTTGGGTTCAAAGGAATATGATTCGTAGAATATAAGACAATGGAGTTAGCTGTCCTCGTACCTAGTGCGTAGTCGAGTGGTAACGCCGCGCGAGCGAGTAGTATGCAGTGCCAGGTTTTCAACCACTATATGTAAGTAATATTTCATTCTCTCATCTTTAAGAAGAAGAAGAAGTAAGTTGTGGAGTGAAGTGTCATGGTAAACAAATATCCGGTTACAGGTACAAGGATGTAAAACACTTCCTCGAAATCTTGTCCTTCCTATCTGAATGAAAGAGAGGAAATACATTAATAACGACACTAGGTTTAAACTAATTTTACGCCAGAAATTCCCAACGCCATGTTCATGTCAAAATTTCAATGATTCGGCCGATCTTGAGCTAAAGTTTTACCAATGATGTTACCGCAGTTGTGTCATTATTGTATGTCGAACCTTGATGGCCAATATTGAATCGTGCCGATGCCATAGGTTAAGGTGAAGTGAAACCCCCTTCAAATGAGCCGATTCGAATACAACACTTTTTTTTAAGGGTATTCGACCAAATTGTCCGAAACTTTGACACATCACTCCTGATCATCTAAGAGTTGTCTTGACACATTCAAAATTTGGATTTTTTAACAAAATTTTTTAACTCAGCTCAGACCAGAACCAAAATGGCGTCGAGCCCTCATATTTCAATGGATATACAATTATCGAAGGCTCTAATATGAGAATCGAAAGGGTCAGGACAATTTTACGACAATTTAGAACACTCTGGTAATCGATAAACTCGCATTTGAACGGGATAAAGGCAAAAAAAGTGTTGTATGCGCTTGTATACCAAAACGATGGTAATACGAGGTCTCGGAGTGAAAATTAAATTGACCTGGAATGCACAGATGGCGCAGGGAGTCCCTCTGCAGTCATTTAGGGCCCCAGAAAGCATGAATCCAGAGGATTTCTGGAGGTTTACTTCGATTTTTTTATAATTATCGTACGAAAACGACAGGTGGAGTATGCCATTTGGTACAATACCCAATATAATTCGACACAGCTATCAATATAAAAACGAACGTCGGCAACGTAGGCATTTAGAAAGATCTTCTTTATCGACGTCGATCAAGTTCCTCAACGTGTTTCACTTCACCTTAAGTCTTAATGGGATCTCGGCTATTCTTGCCTGGGAATTAAAATTTCCTCCTGGTAATTTTCATACACTACATTTCAAGAAAGGGACCGCCTTGTTTAATTCCTTGGTAATTAGTAAGGTGTCGGAGAAAGCGATTTTGTCGAATCGAGAGTACCGATCCTTTCTCTCGGGAATATGACACGACCAACATGTACATGTACACATTGATGGACCGGATCGTTTCCGCCGGGAATTTCATTACTCTGCTGAACATACCGAGTGAATAACATTACGTGTCATGCAGTTTTTCCAAATAATACTTTTTTTCGAACCCTACCTAAACATTTATACTCATCACTGCGTGATCGGATATTCAATACTTCACGCAAATATAGTTCAAGAATCAATAACATTTTTATGGTTGACCCGTAGAATATGACTATTATATGAACAACGAAGTATTTTATTGTCATGATCAAATTCATTCGATAATAACTTTTGCTTGATTACATCAAATGTCGTGGTAGATCACCCTAAATGTTAAAGCAATATTGTTCATTTAACCAAAATATTTCTTTCAGTGGCTAAAACATTTTTCAACATTGACAAAATCCAACCAAAGTACTGATCGAAGCAAACGAGTTTGGTCAAATAAACTAATATTTGGTTCACTCAACCAAAGCGGTTTCCGCAGTGAACCAAATGCAGTAAATTTTATTCTGCGCGTTCATTCCTTTATTTTTACTTACAGCAAAAAAGAGCGAATTACGATCACGGGAAAACTCTGGAACACTTGTTCAATTGTTTTGAAATATTGGTACCAATGACAATGTTTCTTTTTAGTGCTACATTGAATTAAAGTGAAGTGAAACTCATCGAGGAACTTAATCGACGTCGATAAAGAAGATTTTTCTAAATACCAATGTTGCCGACGTTCGTTCTTATATTGACAGCTGCGCCGAATTATATTGGGTATTGTACTAAATGGCATACTACACCTGTCGTTTTCGTACATTAATTATACAGAAATGGAAGTAAAACCCTAGAAATCCTCTGGATTCATGCTTTCTGGGGCCCTAATTGACTGCAGAGGGACCCCCTGCGCCATCTATGATTTCCAGGTCAATTAAATTTTCTCTCCGAGACCTCGTATTCTTATCGTTTTGGCACAGAAGCGCATAAAACACTTTTTTTGCCTTTATCCCCTTCAAATGCGAGTTTATCGATTACCATAGTGTTGTAAATTGTCGTAAAATTGTCCTGACCCTTTCGTTTCTCATATCAAAGCCTTCGATAATTGTATATTGAGCGAAATATGAGAGCTCGATGCCATTTTGGTTTGGTCTGGGCTAAGTTAAATAAATTTTTTCAAAAATTCAAAGTTTGAATGTGTCAAGACAATTCTTAGATGATCAGGAGTGACGTGTCAAAGTTTCGGACAGTTTAGTCTAATGCCCTTATAAAAAAGTGTTGTATTCGAATCGACTGATTTGAAGGGGGTTTCACTTCACCTTAATGGGGAATAAAGTAACGTAGGAAAACCCGCATTCCATCCGCGAAGATATTTGACCATTTTCACACCAATTGTGAAATAAGTCAAGGAAGAAGAAAGAGAAACGAAGCACGCTCTCGCACGTGCCATCTTTGCGATTCTTTTTATCGGACATACCGGGAAGAGGGAAAGGCGAAATTCTCTGTGCTTTTAGAAAGCGGCACCTTCGGGCCATTGGAAAGTCGCATCGGCGAGCAAATTCCGTAAAATCGGCAGCATGTACATAGGTACAAGGTTCGTGTATATTCGTTACCGTATGCGTAACCGTAGGTAAGCTTCGTGTCGGTGCTGACCATTTGCGATTTATGGTCAAACTGGTCTTATGCGAGTGGCTAAAAATGGCGGGGCTGTCTGCACCGGTTGACTTCTGCTCGCAGCCACCATGGAGCTCGACCCAGTAAATCCGAGAAGGCCGTGTCAACTGCCTTCTTGAATTTATTTGAGCGAGCGTATTAAGGTGAAGTGAAATACGTCGAGGAACTTGATCGACGTCGGTAAAGAAGATTTTTCTAAGTACCTACGTTGACGACGTTCGTTTTTATATTGACAGCTGGGTCGAATTATATTGGGTATTGTACCAAATGGCATACTCCACCTGTCGTTTTCGTACAATAAATATCAAGAAATCGAAGTAAAACTCCAGAAATTCTCTGGATTTATGCTTTCTGGGGCCCTAATTGACTACAAAGGGACCCCCTGCGCCATCTGTGATTTCCAGGTCAATTAAATGTTCACTCCGAGACCTCGTATTCCCATCGTTTTAGCATAGAAGCGCATACAACACTTTTTTTGCCTTTATCCCGTTCAAATGCGAGTTTATCGATTACCAGAGTGTTCTAAATTGTCGTAAAATTGTCCTGACCCTTTCGTTTCTCATATCAGAGCCTTCTATAATTGTATATTGATCGAAATATGAGAGCTCGGCGCCATCTTGGTTCTGGCCTGGGCTAAGTTAATCAATTTTTTCCAGAAATCCAAATTTTGAATGTGTCAGGATAATTCTTAGATGAATAGGAGTGATGTGTCAAAGTGTCGGGCAGTTTGGTCTAATACGCTTTAAAAAAAGTGTTGTATTCGAATCGACTGATATGAAGGGGGTTTTACTTCACCTTAATCGCGACGAATGGGTTCATTCGTTCACGTCGAGGCGATCCCGGGGAGCATTCTTTGTTGGACGGGATTTACCGACAGCTCGTTCGAAGGGGTTCTAAGAGCTTCAAAGAACTTCAAGAGAAGGTTGAAAGACCTTCAAAAGACCTCGAAGGGTCTCATCGGGGTCGAAGGACTGTAAATGGCTCCACGAGCCACGAAATCATCGAGAGTGACCTTGACCTTCGCGTGTATTCCACTAGAAGGTTGCCGCATATGCGTTCCGCGCGAGGTAAGAGCTTCATGAAATTTCCTTCTCGACACAATGAGCCAATTTGTCAAACGCTTAAACCTCGCCGCCGTGCATGATAAACCCTTTCCTAATAGGAATGTAAAACATTAATGGCTTCGTGGCATAACGGGCATCCGACGGCTTTTCTCAGCTGTTGTTGTGTCTCTTCCGCTTTTTCCGAGACACGTTTACGAACGGTTGTTGATGAGTTGGATCGACAGAAATTGCGCGTATAATTAACGGTATACTTTTTACTGTTTTCACTGATCATTTTCAAGGTCAGTGGATATATATCTATAGCATGAGACGGTGGGGTAACATGAATTGAGGGGCAAAATGCGGAAACTGTTGTAAAACGTTAAAATAATGTTTATTGCGCACGTACTTCATTTGTCCAGCGGCCATTAGTCGTATACGAGGT